GTCAAATGTTTTGACGAGTATCACAGTCTCGAGGATTTCCTGAAAAATAAAAATGTGGACATATATGTGACAGTATATTTGTATTTATTATTTATTTATTTATATATATACAAGAGTTGTCACATTCTTGTACAGCCACTAGTACGAGTAGCATTTTGGCCAAGTCCTTAATACTATGTTCCCTGGAATACAACCCCGCGAAAAATCGTTTAACAACAAGGTACCCATTTTACTGTTGAGTAAAATGGGCCATTTAGGCCTGTGTTGCCTTGGGTTGGCAGTTGCAGCCAGTTGTCTCGACTTTGAGTTGAGGAGTGTGCGGCGACCACCTCCCAGGTAAGTCCCTCTTATTTCCTCTGTGGGTAGTTAGCTCTGGGGAGTCGAAGGGGCTCCCACCACAAAACCAGCGTTGAATGTAATCAAACGCCATTTTCTGGGTGAGACCTGGAGGCTCCCCGGCATCCCTCCCTCCTTCCGGTAAGCAGTTTTTCGCATTTTTTGACATCAAGCCTCAGAACTGATGGTGGGTAGCCAGTGCGGTAGGTCTGGAGTTCACCCTGCGCAGACAGCGGGGCGGCGACGTGTGACATCATGATCGTTTGCTTGTTTCTTTTAGGGGAGTTCTATCCACTTGTTCGGCTTGTGGTAGCAATTTTTACCAGAATAGGGGTTTGTTTTGGGATGCTTACCTTTCTGGGTGCCTGACCCAGTCGATGGCAGACATAGAATGCTTCCAACCACGCGGGGGTTTCTATAGGCCATTGCTCCCTTTACCTCTCTGAGGGGGCCAGGCTCTGGCTCCTGGTTCCCGGAAGGCCCATAGAACTCATACACATGCCTGATGCCAAAGTCTGCCATTAGTATATCAGCTTGGATAAACTCTGGGGATTCAAAGGGGCTCCCCCCCCCAGAAAAATGGTTGTAAAATACCGTCTCTACTCGATTATCCGGACTATATGGGAAGGACCCCCAGCCAGATAATCACGTTTCCCGGATAAGAGTACTTTTTCACCTCTGAGTCCAAAAGGGACCATTTCCAACAATTTTTATACCACACTCATGATTCGAATTGACACACACTAATTAGTGTGTGAGGCTGGGTGGGTGGTTAGCTGCCTAGCTGGTAGGTGGGCAGGGGAAATGAGTGGGCAGGCAGGTATTTAGGCAGGTGGGTTTTGGATAGGTAGATGGCAGGCTAATGGGCTTGGTGGGTGAACAGGTTCGAGCAGGCAAGTGGGTGGGTGGGTGAGCAGGCAGGTGGGTGAACAGGTGGCTGGGTGGGCTATCAGGCAGGTGGATGAACAGGTGGGTGGGTGGGCTATCAGGCAGGTGGGTGGGTGGGTGAGCAGGAAGGTGGGTGAACAGGTTCTATCAGGCAAGTGGGTGGACAAGCAGGAAGGTGGGTGAACAAGTGGGTTGGTTGGCAGGTGGGCATGCAGGCAGATGGGTGAACAGGTGGGTGGGCGAGCAGGCAGGTAGGTAGGTTGGCAGGTGGGTAGGTGGGCATGCAGGTAGGTGGGCACGCGGGTGAACAAGTGGGTGGGTGGGGGAGACTGGACAAAGATAGACCACACGTCCTGCCTGTTCACCCCCTCCCCACGTCACGATGGCCTTCCCATCTCCCCTCCACGTGTGTCGACACGTGGGGGTTTTGACACGCTGTATGATGACTTTTAACACATGCGCCTTAACACTTTCGCACTCCGATGATGCCTATTAACGGCGTCCGTTTTTCTCCTGTGCCGTCTCAGATGACGACATCCAGAGCCATCCATTAAAATATTTGTTAAAAATTTAAATTCTATCTGATCAAACTGGGAGTGGTTTCAAAATGAGCGCCTTTAGATTGCGCACAATTTGATACCAAAATGGAACACGCCACATGAAAATTGAGGTCAGAACACTGGAAAGATATAAATAATTTTGTGGTCATGCAGCCCAGTCATGAGCGTCAAAAAGTGTCCAAAAGTTAAAATATTTGTTAAAATTCCATTTATTGTTCTATTATTATGGAACTTGTTTTTAAATACACACTTTTTTATTGCAAACAATTTGAAATCAAAATGAAGGACATGATGCAAAAATTGATGTCAGAAAGATAATAAATGTCAGAAAGAAAATAAATACTTTTGTGGTCCAAATTTTTAAATATTTGCTAAAAATTCCATTTATTTTTCTATTACTATGGGACTAGTTTTAACCCTTAAACTGTGCATGGCGTATATATACGCCCTGAGTAACATGTCCCATGGTGCACATGGCGTATATATACGCCATAGGGTGCCAGGCACGATTCAAATGGCCCGCGGCTACACGGGGTTCACAGTAGCTTCAGTTTCAGTAGCTCTTGTAAACAGATGCCATTTTAAAAAAAAATCGTGGGCAATATTCTCAGGTGTGAGAGGCACAGTACTGTTGGAGCAACCAAGGCCGGCGCACGCAGCATGAGCGAACAGCATTGCTGTTCAGCTTGTGACCACAGCATCGCCGAAAAATGTCAAAATAAATATATAAATGTTATTATTTAGTGATGACAATATTACAGATGACTCATGACTGTGATATAAATAACCAGGGTTGTGATAATAGCAGGATTGTTGTAATAATTAGCTCTGTGGGAGGAGTGATGCTGAGAGATGGAGGAAGACAGCATCGTTTACTGTGTGGCTAGTTGTTATTGTTTGCATTCACCATACCAGGTCAGTGGTTCTCTATGGTGAACACAAATGTAGATACTTATATATAATGTGTGTATTAGTGTAATAACAGCAAAAGGATTATGCTGGGAGGAGCCATATGGGTGACGGAGGTGACGTCGTCTGCACGATTTGTCTAGCTGTTTAGAGGGTGGCCACTATGCTCTTTGGGCGCACTACAAGCTTAGGTGTACAGTTACGGTGCATAAAACATGTAGATATTTATATATAATATGTGTATATAGGGTAATAACACTGCAAAAGGTATTGTTGGGGGAGAAAGTTTAGTGCGTGTGATCTTGAAAGAGTGAGGGAGCCGCCAGCCGCCATCTGTGTATAGCGACGACTCTTAGTGCCTGAACTAACTATATCAGCTTAGCTGTACAGTTGTGGTGAACAAAATATATACATGCTTATATATAACGTCTGTATATATTATAATAACACCACAAATGGTATTGTTGGGGGAGAAAGTTTAGTGCGTGTGTTGAGGGAGTGGCAGCGAGTGGCTGGCTGGTGTGTGGCGGTAACTCTTCGTTGCTTTTCGACTCTCAATACCAACTTAGTGGTTCGTTATGGTGACCAAAACATGCCAAAACTTATATATAACCTGTGTAAAGAGTGTAATAGCAGCAAAACTATTTGTTTATTGTTTTATAAACATAATAATTGAATCACTAATATGCACATCATACTTTTGAGTATAGCGATTATTCACCACTTTTATTATACAGTATAAATATATTACAATACACACTATTGAATAATATTACTGCAAAAAAACTAAGAAAAAATCAATCAGAGACATTGAAACAATTAGGTAATAATATCTTTATGGCAACTCCCATCTGCCAGTGCGGATGACGCTTACCGGGTCTGACGACCGCTCTGTCAACGCCTACTTTTTGCCAGACTTCCTCGGTCAATTGCGCCCAAAATATGTCACCTACAATTTTTTTTGTTTTTCCGTGCTCAGGGGACACAAATTAACATGTTTAGAAGACAAAAAAAAATTTTTGATTTTTTTTTTCTTGCACACAGGGGTGTAAATGTCCCAAGGACCCCTGAGCAGTGTAAGGGTTAAAATACACGCTTTTATATCGCGAACAATTGGATACCAAAATGAAAGACGAAACACGAAATTTGGTGTCAGAACACTGTAAATATATAAATAATTTTGTGGCGATGAGCATCCAAAATTTAAAATATTTGTTAAAATTCCATTTATTGTTCTATTATTATGGAACTAGTTTTAAAATATGCACCTTTATATTGTGAACAATTTGATACCAAAATGAAGGACGTAGCATGAAAATTTATGTTATCAAACTGAACGAGAGTATATATATTAGTCTGCAGGTGTGCAAATTGGTGCTCATTCACGGGGTAACTTGGCCGACTTTAGGCTTTGCTGTGGGGAGTCACTCCGGGCTTTTAGACCTTACATGCAAATACCCCTGTAGAGAATTCTATTGCAAACACAATATCGAAATGAATGACGAAGCATGAGAATTAAGGTGAGAAAACTGAAACGAGTATACACTTTTTGGTGTCGCCACAAAATCGCCCGCACTGCCCTACACATATGACGTCATTTCTGCGGCGCATTTCCACTCCACTGTTGTGTAAAGCAACAGCCCAAAACAGACCCTCCCCCGATCCACCAACCCACAACAAATATAAAGGGGGCTAAATAAACAAGATGCATAAACCAAAAAAGCACCAGAAGGCATATATACAAAACATGAGATATGTGAACCTCTCGGAGAAGACTTCAGATGAGGAACTGGAAAATATCTACCGATGCCAAGGAAGACAACTTTGAAACAATGTCAGAGTAAACTAAGAGAATAAGGATACAATGTAGGTAGCATAAACACAATGAAGAAGCAATGCAGATGGTACCAGACATACAAGTGAGGATGGTATAGGTAGTTGGGTAATGCAGATGGTACCAGACATACAAGTGAGGATGGTATAGGTAGTTGGGTAACCCCCAAGTAACCTGACCTGTCATCTGATGGAATGTTATGTATTTACACAATGATAGCTTCCCATCAGCAAGGAATCATGCTTGGCTTTCTTTTATTTAATTGTTAATCAAAATTTGACTTTGCCTGTACTCTCTTGTGTTTTTTCTCAGTTTTGATTGATTCTTGATCCCCCATGCTTCCCTTGTCTCTTTGAGCATGCCAGACGATTCTGGAGATTGGTTGGCAGGCACAACTTCAGAGGCCTAGTAGCATCGTGGTTGTCTCTGTGATATCATGAGTCTAATGCACCAGTAAGCTACTGAAAGGCCAGTCCGTATAAATCATTTATTTTTCATAAACAATAAACTTTTTATCACCGCTATGCATTCAGTTCTAACAGCACACAGTATATCAAACATTGCAAGATTTATTCAACTGTTAGTTTCTCATAACACAGCAAAAGAACATTTTAAATCACTTTCCGACAAATGTGTGCATATTTTTTATTATCACCTAAAGTCATCCTTCTGTATCCAAAGTGATAATATTAACTCACTGTTTTGACTAGAACAGTTTCACTCTGATTCTACTTACCTCTCCATCCATTGAATTTTAGTGGTTATTAGGTAATTACTGTTACCTATCTTTACAAACTTATACTATATAGGTTATATAGCCTTAAATTTTGGTCAGGTTAATGACAACAATGCCATACTACATCACATGATACGCTGTAGTGGCAGATTTGCTAGGAGGGTTGTTTTGTTACATCTTTCTTAATGAAACACGTGGGGCACTTCAAAATGTATCAGTTGTCACTTTCTTTAATGAAAGTTTGCTGTCAAGTACAAGAGAGTTGAGTTTCCATGTTCTGCATCAACGTAGTTTGTTGTGTCACCAGGTACCACAGATGATCCACGGCTGCTCTGATACTGGTCAGCAGCAAGGATTAAATCACCAGATCCAGCAGAAAGAGCATCCTGTTAAAAAGATTTTCATAATGTTATATAGATACTGAATAGTAAAAAAAAGTGTTCAATGTAATGAAGCGCCATTTTCTGGGTGAGACCCGGAGGCTCCCAGGAGCTATCCAGGCTGATATGTCTATAATTAGACATTGGCATCAGTCAGTGTGCATGGAGTTCTAGGCCTACCGGGGATCACAAGCTAGAACCTGGTCCCCCTCAGAGAGGCACGAGGAGCAATGGCCTATAGAAATACACATGTGATTTGGAGCATTCTATTACTGCCATCGACTGGGACAGGCACTTAGACAGGCAAGCGCCTCAAAACAAACCCTTATTCTGGTTAAAAACACAAAAATAAACAAACGAATGGACAGAATGTCCCAAATAAAAACAAGCAAACAAGCATGACGTCACACGAGCCGCGCCGCCTGTCTGCGCAGCTGCCCACTCTTTGGGAGGGGGAAGGGAGGGAGCCCCAGACCCACTGCGCCAGCAATCCAACCACCAGTTCTTAGGCTGGATGTCAAAACACGCGCAAAACCGCCGATCGGGGAAAGGGCGGGTTGCCGTGAGCCTTCGGGTCTCACCCAGAAAATGGCATTTCATTACATCCAACGATGGTTTTCTGGGGGGGGAGGGGCTCTTCGGCTCCCCAGATCTACATTACCAAAGACTAAAACTGGAGGGACTTACCTGGGAGGCGGTCGGTGCTCGCACCACAACTCGAAGTCAAGACAACTGGCTGCAACCGCTGACCCAAAGCAACACAGACATGACTAGGCCCAGGAACATTTACGAGGTAGCAGGCAGCCAGGACCCTGTTCGACTGCCAAAAACCCCGTGCCTGAATGTCAGCCCAAGTCATGTTACCGAAGATGGCAGCAAGTGCAGCAAACTTACGAACGTCATGGGGACGGGGATAGACCGCAGGCTGGCTGGGCCGAATAACCCTGCGGACAACCTGAGAGACCCGAACTTGGGAACAGAGAACAAGGGAAACCCGGATCAACCCAAAGAGTGTCCCCGGCCACAGAGGCTGTGGCGTACAAATAATGGCGGAGCGCCACATCCGGACACAACACATGATGCACCCCCGACCTGACCAACCAAGCATCATCAACCCAAGGACCCCTCCAGAAAGCTGCAGTGTCATTCTTCGCCAGAAAAGAAGGAGACGGCTGCAAACGAACAAACTTATCACCACGACCAAAAGAGCAGAAGCCCCTGCGCCGGAGGAAAGCATGAAGCTCCCCGACCCGACCCCCCAGAGGCCAATGCCAACAAGAAAAGAGCCTTAGAAAAGCAATCCGGAACCAAAGGGGCCACAACAAAACGAGAAGACAAATACGAAAGCACCCTGTCCAAAGACCAGGATGGCTAAGGTGGTGCATGAGCAGGCTGGAGGTGAAACAACGCCCGAGACAGCTTATAAAGGAGTGGAGAAATAACATCAATACCAAAAGCAAGCTGCAGTGGCTCCGCCAACGCCGCACGATACGAGGCGACAGTATTCGGCATCAGATGATGGTCCGGAAACAGCCACAAGAGAAAAAGACAAACAGCCTGAACCGACAGGGAAGAACAGCGACGGAGAGACAAAAAGAACCAGAAGAACTGCCAGGAAACCTCATAATGCCGCCGAGACGAAGCCCGCAGGTGGGACACCATCAAGGAAGCCACCTGATCACCATACAGATGGTGACAGACCCGAGTCAAAAACTCCAGACGTGAAGACTTGAGGAGAAGATCGAACCGGTCTCGTAACGGACCAGACTGATCTGCTGAAATAGGCGGAGCCGAGGGAAAACCTCCGGGTTCGGATACCGAGCAAACAGCACCTGAAACCAAGGCTGGGCCGGCCACAAAGGGGCCAAAAGGACTACTTCATCCCTGGTAAGTCTCCAAGCAAGCCAGGACCTGGAGCAACAGCTGAACTGGGAGGGGGGGGGGTGAAGATATACAGGAAATCCTCACCTTGACCAGTCCTGCCGAAAGGCATCGCTCCCGATGGCCTCGCAGTCGGGGAAGGGTGCCATTTATACCGGAAGACGCCTCGACCACGCCGACGCGAAGAGGTCCACCTCCAGGCGCCCGAACGTCTGGCAGAGCCAAGTGAACGAGTCAGCGTCGATTGTCCATTCCGTGGACAGTGGAATGAATTGTGACAGGCCGTCCGCCAGGACGTTGGACACTCCCCGGACTTGAATGGCCAGGAGAGCCAAACCCCAAGAACTCAGTAGACGAGTCACCCTAAGCATCACCCTAAGTCACCCCAAACAGCCAAGGACTGTATCAAACCCCCACAGTTCAGACAATGAACTACCAGGGAGCAGTCCAAATGGAGCCGGATCGTCAATCCGCGGGCGACCTGAACTCACCTAAGCGCAGACACACCACCGCGACCACCCGCACCATGCTGTGGGCCTGACGTAAGGACGGGCTACCCCCGACTGCCCTGGTGAGCACTGGTCACAAAGCCCCAGCCAAGAGACGAGGCATCCGTGAACACATTGAGTGAGGGGGTCAAGTAGGCGCCAAGACACTGAACCCCGAAAAATCCGAAGAGGAAGCTGGTGACACAGCAGCCAGTGCAAGGACCCCGGGGGTCGAACCCAGCGATCACGAGAAAGGTGGAAGGGATATCCCCAAAGGAACGAAAACAACCGACAAAGCCAAACCCGACCCAGTGGGTAAACCAGCATCGCCGGGTAACCCAGGAGCGTCCCCCAGAAACAGGCAAATGCGAAGACCGCAGCCGAAGGAGAGACTCCAGAGGGAGAGACAAGAAAGCGGTCCGAGAGTCCCACACAAGACCCAGCCAGATCCGAACCTGGGAGGGAACGAGATTGAACTTCCGCCAGTTCACCAAGAACCCGAACCCGGTTAACTCGGAAAGAACCAAATCCCTGGCGAGCAGACATGCGAACCGATTGGGAACTCAGACCAGCCAGTCGTTGAGGTGGGCCAACACCCGAACACCTAAGAGATGCAGGCGGGCCACAATGACCTGAGTAAGGCATGTAAACACGCGAGGAGCCAGGTTCAACCCAAATGAGAGACAACGAAAGTGGTAACCTTGACGCCCCAAAATAAAACCAAGTCAGTCCCTGAACCCTGGATGAATAGGGACGTGCTAATACGCATTCTTGAGGTCCAGGGACACCATCCAAGTGTCCCGCTCCAATAGAAGCCGGACCTGGAACAGAGTGGTCATCGAAAGGAGGGGCAAGCAACCTAAGGGTTCAGAGGGGACAAGTCCAGAATGAACCGCAGGTCTGCACAGTCCCATTTTAGAATTGGAAACAGGCAGGAAACCCACCTGAGGGATGTTGTAGTTTCAACGATGCCCAAGCTTACCCACTCCGAGATGACCCGACAGAGCACTGGAGAAGAGGTCTGCCCCGTCAGCCCCGAACCCCTGAAGGAGGAAGGGTCACCCAACGCCACCGCAGGCCGTGGGAAACGACCCGAAATGCCTACGAATTGTGAGATCATGCGTGAAGAACAGAGCAAGCCTTCCCCCCCACCCCATCGCCCCATCAATCGGGAGAACCGTGAAAGGACCGATGCCCCTTACGAGAACCTGATCTGCGCAGAGGGAATACGGCGCCGACCAGGCACAGACAGCGAGCACAACCTGCCGAGATGCGAGACGCGCAGCGAAAAACCGTGACACCGCATCCTGCAGGATCGGCACAAACAGCTTCAGAAGTGCAGACGACACAAGAGCAGCGAGACCAAAGGACCAGACCTGGGAACAGTCTCAAGTGACTCAACATCCTCTGTAAGCCAATCCGAAGACAGCTCCAGGAGGGAAAAGAAAGACAGGACCAAGACCAACAAAGCACAAGTGTGCAAATCCTCAGCCACAAGCGCAGCCGAAAGGGAGGAAACCTGAACGTGAAGCTGAAGGGCAGGAGCGAACAAGCACTCATTAAGGTGCTCGAAGTCACCCAGGAAAACCTGGACCACCGTCAATACCTCGCGCCACTCAAGTGTGCAGGAATGACAGAAAGCACTCCAAACATCCAACGACAGCAACGGGCAGTCCGCAAGCCAGGAAGACTCCGGAACCTTATAACGAACCCAGTATGGAGACAAAGACCCAAACCTGAAGAAAGATGGATTCATTATAGAAGCATAGTTCCGGTCGCGTAGGAAGTAAGCCGCAATGGCCGCACGCGCCTCAGTAGGCAAGACGTGGGAGGCCAAAAACCTCCGGAAGGACGGAACCGAAGGACCTGCAGGAACATGGAACCAAACCCGGGGAGGAGCTGAACCCAAATCCAACTTATACACAGAGAGGGGGAAAGGAAAACCCCACTCCCTATAACAGAAAGCCCCACTCTGAGGGTTTGAAAACCCAGGTGGGGTCCAATGGGGCCCACAGCCCCCAAGTCAGCCCCTCCCCAACCCCAGGAACCTCCACGTCAGGCTGGAGGTGAGCCCTCCTCCAAAGCCCCAGCCTCACAAGAAAAAACTGGGACATCCGGAAAAGCGGGAAGAGAGGAGGCCCACTGGTTAGACCCCGACGCTACGGCAGGAGGAAGGGGCTCGAATGCCTCTGTCGCCTCCTTGGAAGGGGCAACTCCCAAAACTGCCCGAGTCTCAGAAACCTCTAAACCCTGCCCCGACGCCGAAGCCCTCAGACGCTTCGGAGGGGGTACAGACTGAACCAAGACCCCAAGTCCGGGTCCCTATAAGCAAAATGAGGCAGCCTCGGGGCATCTGGGGAATCAACCAACAGAGAACGCAGCAGCAACCAAGCATTCAACGCCTGAGCCACCTGCACCCAAATAAAGTCATCAGTAGATTGGGTGAACTGAGTAACAGTGCTCGCAGTACTCCGGGTTGAAGGTGTCACCTATCCAATAGGCAGCATGACGGAGGCAAAAACAATAAGCTTCGCTCTGAGACAAGGGGACAGAGCAACTCTCAAACTCGCACAAGGCGAGAGGAGACCCAGGGTTCACATCTATTGGACCTCGTGCGGGGATTCCCAGGGCCCCTAGACTGGTATCGCTAACGGTAAGCCCAGGTGGGATATTGCTAACTGGCTTCCAAGTCTACCAAACAAACTGCTAAAGCTGAACCTTCAGGACGTATCTATTCACAGAGGCGAAGCAGAGGGTACCCAAAGGCAAACCCCCATACCAGGCCAAAACAAAAAGTAAAAGAAAAACCCGCAAGAGGATAATGGACCCCCAGGAGGCACATAGCTAGCTGCTGTAGAAGGTGAAAACTAGCTGTGCAGTACCCCGTGCCCCACCAGTGCAAAAACTACCACTTACCCCAAGGTAAACAAGTGAGGAAAACTCCCCCAACACTCAGGGCAGTCAATCACCAAGCAGCATAAGACCACAGAGGTAGACCCCAAGGTGACTTTTGGAAGATAACCCTAAGCCCCCAAGAGCAGTACTTACAGGGCACTCAGGAAAGAGAACCCTAAGCACATGCAGCCTGAGTACCTGTGAATATTACTCCCAACTCGCCTGACCCAATCGATGGCAGATATAGAATGCTCCAAATCACATGAGCATTTCTATAGGCCATTGCTCCTCGTGCCTCTCTGAGGGGGCCAGGTTCTGGTTTGTGGACCCCGGTAGACCTAGAACTCCATCCACATTAACTGATGCCAAGGTTTAATGATATACGTATCAGCCTGGATAGCTCCAGGGAGCCGAAGGGGCTCCCCCAGAAACAACACTCAAAAAAGGGAGATTGGAGCCAGAGTGACAGAAATCACTCTGCACACTTCATCAATCAAGAACTTACCCGGGCTCGCTCCCTCCTACCCCCAACGAGGGGGAAGAAAGTGAAGCTAACTAGCAGGGGGCAAGTTTGATGAAATTTTGGTTATTTGTTTTATTGTTGGGGGAGTTCTCTTGAAATTTTGAGGGTTGTGATCTCTTTCAACCATGCAGTAGTCTATTTTTATATGCCTACCTTTCTATGTGCCTTCCTTGGATGATGGCAGATCTGATAACCTTTAAATGTCATGTATTCATGGGCCATTGCTAACTGCACCTTTCTGAGAGGACCAGGTTCTGGCTTATGGTCTCCAGTAGGCAGAATGAACTCTGCATCTGATGACACTAAGTAGTATGGCATTTGATCAGTATGATTAAGGGAACTTCCGGGAGCCAATGGGGCTCTCCTAGAAAGAGAGAACCCCTAGCTCCCAGTAGGAAACTGGGTCTCAGAAGTCTCGTGCAGTTCTTACAGCTTGGCTACAAAAGTCCAAAAGTCATGTAGAGCTAATGAGAGGCTATTCCAGGCATACAAACAAATATAGAACATGAAACACTGAATATAACTGGGACAAGTTCAGATTAAAAAAATAACTGGGTAAAAATGGCTTGGAAATAAAATTGTAGATTTATGCAACAGATTGCCAAGTAGGTTGGCAATCTGCACAATGGTAAACACTGTACAATTAGTCGTCTGATAATCCAAATCCAGATAACCGAGTAAACACTGCACTGTATTTTGAAAAGATTTTAAAATGTTGTGTTAGTGCATGAAAAGTATTCACCTGATTGACTATATGAACTGTAGTTGGTTCTTGAAGTTGAACTGAAACAGCTTCACCTCCACCCTGGGCAGCAAGGGGACCAAGTTCTGTTCCACTTGTATCATTGGCTTCAACTAACACTGTACTGTTGCCTGTTGAAACAAAAAATTACTTTCTAGTTAAAACATTGTATAAACATTTAAAAACCAGCATTGAATGTAATGAAATGCCACTTTCTGGGTAAGCCCCGGAGGCTCCCTGAAGCCTATCGGGCTAATGTACAGTAGCACCTCGACATACGATTGCCCCTACTTACGATAATTTCGAGTTACGATATAAATTTCATCGAAAAATGCGACTCGACATCCGATATTTGTTGGTACACGTTCGGGTCGGCCGAGCGTGTGGTTCCCGGTCACGCTGTCCGACCTGCCTCAGTTTACTACAGCTACCCACTTAGTGACGATCGCGCCTATAAGAAATTCCGCTTTTGTGGTGATTTTTTGCATTTTGAACATTAAAGTAATTATTATATAATACGCCATGAGTCCCAGGAAAGTCAGTGGTAAGGCTCAACATGTGAGATCCCATGTAAGAATGACCATAGAGCAGAAACAAGAGATCATTCGTAAATATGAAGATAGTGTGCAGGTAGGTGAACTGGCTAGGCAGTACAACAAATCTCAGTCAACGATATCCACCATACTGGCTAAGAAAAAGGACATTATGGGTGCTAAAGTGATGCATCATTACAGACAAATGTTAAAACGAATGGAAAAACAAATGTCTCTTGACAAATTTGTAGTGAGACAAACAAGCACTGAACCACAACCAGGTCCTAGTGGTATTCAGGCAAAACATAGGAGAGAGAGTACCCCAGAGAAAACATCACTGCCTGATGTGATAATGGAAGGGGACTCCCCTTCCAAACAGTAACAACTCTCCTCCTCCCCCATCACCATCTTCCATACGCCATCAAGAGCCCTCCATAAAGGTAAGAGTAACTTTGGTACTGTATTGTAGTTAGAAAAAAACATTGTATTCAGTATAAAATGTATTTTTATGTTAATATTTTGGAGGGTGGGGAACGGATTAATTCAAATCCCTTTATTTCTTATGGGAAAATTCGCTTCAACTTCCGATATTTCGACTTCCGATCCGTCTCTGGGAACGGATTAGCATTGGAAGTCGAGGCCCCCATTGTACTTTATATTAGACCGGGACATTAGCTATGGAGTTCAGACCTACCAGGGACCAGCGCCAGAACCTGGCCCCTTCAGAGCAATGGCCCTGGAAAACCCTCTCGTGGTTGGGGGTTTTCCTTAGCTGCCATCAACTGGGGTTAGGCACCCAGAAAGGTAGGCATAACAAAACAAACCCCACATGGTAAGAAACTAAAACAAAAAACTGAACAGAGAGGTAGAAACCTGCTACAATCCCAAGGAAACAAGCAAACATCACACTTTACTGCCGCACCGCTCGTCCGCGCAGCCCTCCTCTCCCCGAGAGGGGGAGGGAGGGCCCAGACCTCACCACACCGGCTGCCTAGCACTCCAGTTCAGAAGCTAAGCTTCAAATTTAAATTTTAAATTTTGCCCCGAGGGGCGAGTTTATTGGGCAGCGCCACTCATCTTGTGAGTGGACACACCGCCATAGCAGCATGTACAACACTCTCCAAAAGGAAGAAAACCTGCTGGGTTGTTCATCCTGTTACTTGTACCCAGACACAGCTGGGACTTGCTTAACTGTAAGCTTCAACCAACGCAAAAAAAAAAACAACCGGTGGGAGGGAGGGTTGCCAGGGAGCCTCCGGGGCTCACCCAGAAAATGGCGTTTCATTTCATTCAACGCTGATTTTCTGTGGGGAGCCCCTACGGCTCCTTGGAGCTACATACCCAAAGACAAGAAAATAGGGACATACCCGGGAGGCGGCCGCCATAAACTCCTCAACGCGAAGTCGAGACAACTGGCTGCAACCTGCGACCCAAAGCAACACAAGAACGCCCAGGAGCAGGCACATTCACCAAATAACGGGTGGCCAGGACCCTGTTCGATCTCCAAAATCCACTCGCCTGAATACGAGCCCGAAACATGTTACCAAACACGGCAGCCAAAGCTGCTAACTTCCGAACGTCATGGGTGCGAGGATAGACCGCAGGCTGGCTAGACTTAATAACCCTGCGGACAACCTGGGAGACCTGAGCCTGGAACACAAAATGAGGGAAACCGGATCAACCCAAAGCACATCCCCAGTCACCCTAACGTAGGCGCGCAGGTAACGGCGAAGAGCCACAACCGGACACAACACATGATGCACCCCCGGCCGAACCAACTAAGCATCAATGACCCAAGGACCCCTCCGGAAAGCAGCCGTCTCGTTCTTCACCAGAAAAGATGGAGAAGGCTGCAAACGTACAAACCTACCCCAGGCCCAAAAGAGCAGAAACCCTTGTGCCGGAGGAGAGCATGAAGCTCCCCTACCAGACCCCCAGAGGCCAATGCCAACAAAAACAGGGTCTTGGAAAAACAATCATCGACCGAAGGGGCCACCACAAACCGAGGAGAGGAAAGATATAAGAGAGCACCCTGTCCAAGGACCAGGATGGCTCAGGCGGCGCATGAGCAGGCCGGAGGTGAAACAGCACAAAAAAGCTTACGGAACGGGGCGGATGTGACGTCCACCCCGAACGCAAGCTGGAGAGGCTCCACCAGCGCCGCACGATATGAGGCGACAGTATTAAGCGTCAAATGACGGTCCTGAAACAGCCAAGAAAGCAAGGACAAGACAACCTGATCCGAAAGAGAAGACAACTTACGAAGAACAAGAAAATGGCGAAAAAAATGCCAGGAAACTTCATACTGTCGCCGAGACGAAGCTCTCAGGTGGGACACCATCAATGAAGTCACCTGATCACCATAGAAATGGTGATACACCCGCGTCAAAAAGACCAGATGCGAAGAGCAGAGGAGAAGGTCGAACCAGGTCGTGTTATTCGGTCGCAGGCCGGATGACACGACCGAAAAGGCCCACAAATCATGGGGCCAAGTGTGGGCAAACAGAGCGTGCCTCCCCCCCCATCGCCCTGTCAACAGGGCGAACTGCAAAAGGGCCGACGCCCGTTACCAGAAACCAAGCGCCGAACAGAGCGATCACCGCGCCGACCAGATGACGCTGGCACCGAAAGCAACGTCAGCTCAGAAACTGGCACCAATGGCCCACCTTGACCAGTGCAACCCTGAACCCTGGCACGACCCCTCCGAGATGGCCGAGAATGATCGCCCAGGAGAACCAACAAGTCCGGCATAGGATGACAGAAACTGCGAGACCGCAGCCTCTGCATACAGTAACGGACAAAACAGAGACGAAAACCTAAGAGCCAGGGTTCAAGCCCTGGCTCTTAGGTTTTCAGTGCTTGCCCTCTCTTAGGTTGCCCAAAGAGAGGGCAAGCACTGCCTGACAGCACGCGAGGGGAGAAGCAAAAAACAGAGACACCGCGTCTTTCAGGAAAGGTGCAAAAAGCTTCAACAGTGCAGCCGATGCCCTAGCCGCCAAAGTCAGTGCCCCAGATGAAGACCCGGCACTCAACGCCTCTACATCTTCCTCAAGCCAGGCAGAAGACGGCTCGAGAAGGAAAAAGAAATGTAAGACCGAAGCCAAATGCCCATGGGCGAACAAATCCTCCGCAACCAACGATGCCGAAAGAGAGGGAACCTGCACGTGAAGCTGCAAAAGGCCAACATCCCAAGAAAGCACGGGGGCAAGCAAGCACGCATTAAGGTCCTCAAACTTGCCCTCCCAGGAAACCTGCAGAACTTCATGCCAATCAAGCGTACGGGTCTGACAGAACCCATGCCACACCCCCAACAAAAAGAATGGGCAGTCTGCCAGCCAGGAAGACTCCAGAACCTCTAAACGCACCCAAAACCGGGAAGAAGAACCGAACTCAAAAGAGGACAGATCCATCACAGAGGCATAAACCGGGTTTCGCATGAGGTATGCAGCAAGAGCCTCCCGAACCTCCTTCGCGGAGATACGAGAAGTAGAAAACCTCAAGAAAGACAGGGCCGAGGTACCCAAAGGGGCCCGAAACCGAACCCCGGGGAGGAGCCGAACCCAAATCATGCTCATACAGGGAAGGGGGGTATAAGAAAACCCCTCCCCCTGCAACAATAAGACCCACGAGAAAGGCACAAGCACCCAAGCGGAGTCAAAGGGGGCCCAAGGCCCCCCCAGGTCGACTCTTCCCCAGCCCCGAGATTCCCCAAGTCGGGAACCGGGGCAGAGCCATCCTTCAAACCCTCTACCCCTGAAGAAAAGGCAGACAAGAAGGGGGCCTGCTGGTGGGACCCAGAAGCCTCGGCAGGAGGAAATGGCTCAAATGTCTCCGTCTCCAACCCAAATGGGGCAGCCCCCGAAGCCGACCATGTCTCATTACCAACTAAACCCTGTGCTGAATCCGAAACCCTCAGACGTTTGGGAGCCGGACACAGGGGGGAGGGAGGATGAACAAAAGGGGAACGACCAGGGGGCGCGGACGGAACCAAAGTCGAAGCGACTTTGGTTCCCCTCCCACCTCCACCACTTAACGTGGTGGAGGTGGGGTTCCTTGATTGTTTCAAATGTGGTTTGGACATGTATATGAGTGGAATTGGGTGGTTATAAATAGGACTGCCTCGTATGGGCCAATAGGCCTTCTGCCTTTACCTTTGTTCTTATGTTCTTATGATAGCAGTTTTGTGCCTAGTCTTAGCAACACGTGTAGTATATTTGGAGGCATTTTCGTGGATCAGGTGACATCTGCTGAGGTGTCATCTGCTCGTACCCTGTACTCCATAGTATGGTTTGATTTCCTCACCACATTCACCAGAACTGCTTATTGATTCATTATAAGAACACATGAATAAAGGAAACTGCAGAAGGCCTATTGGCCCATACGAAGCAGATCCTATTTATAACCACCCAATCTCATTCATATATACGTCTAACCTACACTTGAAACAATCAATGAATCCTACTTCTATTACGTTGCGTGGTAATTGGTCCCACAAATCAATAACCCTGTTACCAAACCAGTATTTACCCATGTCTTTCCTAAATCTAAACTTATCCAATTTATACCCATTGTTTCGTGTTTTGTCTTGTGCTGATATT